TGTTATCATATTTCAGGGTGTTATTGGTATAACTGCTGTATTGATTCAGTAAAACAGGACCTGAAATGTATGGAGGTACCGTCACGTGAGGAGCAGGTCTTTTTCTGGCAATAAAAGCTTTTGTGGTTGAATACATTTATGAAGTATGTTAATGTTTTCCTGTTCAAATAGGTAGAGTTCAAACATATTTGAATCTTTCATCAGAATAGGAGGAGTGCTATTATGATATACATGGATGGTTTAGGAAAATATGGATGAATATAATTGCCTGATACACCCTGTGAATTTTTTAAACAAATTCCTTACCAGCTAGTTTTTGCCATTGAACTCTTCCTCTAGTAAGTAGGTTGCAGTTTAACAATGGCAACAACAAAAAAAACAGAAAAAAATAGGTTTTTTAATAGTGATCTATGATCTAGAGAAGAGCTAAATGGTAAAGACATGAAACCGCAGGTGTGTTGTGATCTCATCAATCCCGTCCTCTGATCTTGGTTATCTCCTGTGTGAATCAATAGCTTTTTGGCTTAGCTCAGAGTTTACCGTATTTATCCAGCCTAGAAATCCTATGTGCACGTTGGCATGTTCAATTGCATCTTTTACTTACAAAGTAAGATCTTTGAGACCCCTGTTTTTAATCATAATGGGTTTCTTGGGTGGTGGTATTCACCAAGACACTCTGTCGTCTATTAATTTTGACTCATTTTTCTTTGTTAAATATTCTAGTTTTTCAGTTGGTGGAATAGCTACAATAAGGCAATCAGCTACCTAGCCACAGTACCCAAGTACCGGATTCAAGCTACAGAGATCGCCAGGCAGCAGGGACTGCTCAAAAAAGCCAAAGAAAAAGGCAGAAACAAAAAGTCCAAAGAGGAAATTCGTGATGAGGAGGAGAATATCATAAAGAACATTATAAAAAGTAAAATAGATATAAAGGGAGGCTATCAGAAGCCCCAAATATGTGATCTTCTTCTGTTTCAAATTATCTTGGCTCCTTTTCACCTGTGCTCATATATAGTCTGGTATTGTCGATGGATCTATAATTTTAACATCAAAGGCAAAGAATATGGAGAAGAAGAGAGACTATATATCATACGTAAATCTATGAAGATGTCAAAGTCTCAATTTGATAGTCTAGAAGATCATCAGAAAGAAACTTTCCTTAAACGGGAGCTCTGGATAAAGGAGAATTATGAGGTGAGTAGTCACTCTGCTGTGATTTTAATGTCATTCTCCTGACCAAGTTAAAATTAGGTATATGATAAGGGATCCCAGAATTGTATTCAAATTTCCGAAATAAATCTAAGAGTTAAATAATGAATAAAGATCTTTTATTGAGATTCTGACTGTATTTGAGAGTGAGACAGTAGGTTTTTTAACCTGTAATTTCTCTTTTTAGAAGATGAACTTCAAATACTTTAATTGACTAATTCTGAAAAAGCTTTAAGGTTAGTCTAATTTGTTGGGTTAAACTGCAGTGGAATGATATGTATGTTTGCAAGGATGTTACAACAACTTTCTGTTAATGGCTCTAACTAAAATGTGGTCTTCCCCAAGTTTTCTTCCAGTCTTGTAAAGCTAACCACAGAGATTTAAAAAAAAAAGCCAAAACAGAGAACAAGAAATGGAAAGTTTGTTGAAATAACTTCATTTCAAAAGAACTGAGCACAGGATCTTCTACACAATAACTAATACATATATAGAAAGTTACTTTTATTTTACTTTTAAATTGACTTACTATATAACAGCTCTAAACTTTTGGGCATTTTAATAAATGCTTTATTCTGTAATTGTCAGCTACAAAAATTACTTTGAGGTGATCAGGTACCTAGCCACAGTGCTAAAGGGACTAGCAATCTCATCATAATGATAATCGTTTTACATTCTGGGTAAAATTGATTGGTTAGTATAGTAACTATAAGAATTGAGCACAGTGAAATTCTTAAGACATCTGAAATACATTAATTTTTTTTT